TGAGGCAGTATCACTATAGATTGCCTAACCTTCCTTCCAAGGAATGGCTGGTGGGTTTGAACCACCAAACTTCTAGTTAGCAGTCAAATGCCTTAGCCATTACACTACCAGAGCTCCTATATTGATGATATTGCTCAATAATTTCTACATTCTGTGGGATCACCTTTCTTTGGAATAGGTACAAATGTGGATCTCTCCCAGTCAGTTGGCCAGGTAGCTGTCTGCCAAATCTCTTGGCATAACCGAGTAAATGCCTCCAGTGGGGCATCCATTCATTTAAACATCTCAATGGGTATTCCATCAATTCCTGGAGCCTTGTTCTTTGCCAATTCTTTCAGCACAGCTTCGACTTCTTCCTTCAATACCATTGGTTCTTGATCATATGCACCTTCTGAAATGACTGAAGATCGACCAGTTCTTTTTGGTACAGTGACTCTGTGTATTCCTTCCATTTTCTTTTGATGCTTCCAGCATCATTCAATATTTTGTCCATAGAATCTTTCAATATTGCAACTCAAGGCTTAATTTTTTTTTTCTCAGTTATTTGAGCTTGAGAAATGCCGAGCATGTTCTTCCTTTTGGTTTTCTAACCCCAGGTCTTTGCATATTTTATTATAGTAATTGGCTTTGTCTTCTCGAGCTGCTCTTTGGAATCTTCTGTTCAATTCTTTTTTATCTTTTCATGTCTTCCATTTGCTTTAGCTACTCTTCACTCAAGGGCAAGTTTCAAAGTCTCTTCTGACATCCATTTTAGTCTTTTCTTCTTTTCTTGTCTTTTTAATGACCTCTTGCTTTCTTCATGGATGATGTTCTTGATGTCATCCCACAATTTTTCAGGTTTTCAGTCATTGCTGTTCAATGAATCAAATCTATTATTTACATGATCTCTAAATTCAGGAGGGATATATTTAAGGTCATATTTGGCTCTCATGGACTTGTTATAATTGATTTAACTTCAAATTGAATTTGCATATGAGCAGTTGATGGTCTGTTCCACAATCAGCCCCTGGTCTTGTTTTGGCTGAAGATATTGAGCTTTTCCATTGTTTCTTGCCCACAGATGTAGTCAATCAGATTCCTGTGTACTCCATCTGGTGAAGGCCATGTGTATAGCCACCGTTTATGCTGTTGAGGAAAGGTATTTGCAATGAATAAGTCATTGGTCTTGCAAAATTCTATCATGTGAGCTCCAGTGTTATTGCTATCACCAAGGCCTTATTTTCCAATTACCAGTGATTCTTCTTCATTTCCAAGTTTTGCATTCCAGTCACCGTGATAATTAACACATCTTGATTGCATGTTTGGTCAATTTCAGACTGCAGAAGTTCATAAAAAATCTTCAATTTCCTCATCTTTGGCTTTGGTGGTTGGTGCACAAATTTGAATAATAGTAGTATTAACTGGTTTTCCTTGTAGGCATATGGATATTACCCTAACACTGACAGCATTGTAGTACGGACAGATCTTGAAATATCCTTTGCAATGATGAATGCCACACCATTCTTCTTCAAATCTTCATTCCCAACATTGTACATCATATGGTTGTGTGATTCAGAATGGCCAAAACCAGTCCATTTCAGCTCGCTAATACCTAGGGTATTAATCTTTATGTGCTCCATTTCATTTTTTACAACTTCCCGTTTTCCTGTATTCATACTTCATACATTCCATTTTCTGATTATTAAAGGATGTTTGCAGCTGTTTCTTCTTAATTTGAGTCATGCTACATCAGCAAATAGAGGTCTTTAAAGCTTTACTTTATCCATATCAGTAAAGTTGGTTCTACTCTGATGATGCAGCTCTTTCCCAGTCATATTTTGAGAGCCTTCCAACCTAAGGGGCTTCTCCTCCTACACTTTATCTGACAGTGTTTCCAGGCTATTCATAAAGTTGTGCAGTAATGTATCAGACAATGTTTCTCTGCTATTCATAAGGTTTTCCTTGGCCAGTTCTTTGAGAAGTGAATGGCCTCTTCCTTCTTCCTAGTCTGTCTCAGTCTGCAAGCTGAGTTGAAACCTGTGCACCATGTGCAACCCTGCCTGCATTTGAAAAACAGGTGGCCCAGCCTCAAGCCTCACAGCAACATGCAAGCCACCATAGTACAACAAACTGACAGACAAGTTTGTCTCCCTTAGCTCTTTGAAACCACTTCACCCTCCCCTTGTCTGATTCCCTGCTGCTGCTCGCTC